ATCTGCTGTACAAAGACTTTAGTGTTGATTCAATCGTAGAGAACCCTCTATTTTAGATGCAGCACTCTTCTCGGTGATACAATGGCATCAACGCACTAGATTTATACCTAGATATGAATCTCAGTTTACCCATTGTTTTAACAATACATTTAACCATACAGGATGTCTCATTCGCCATTTGACATTTTTTAAATTTAATCCTGTTGTATACTCGAAAGTAATACTGCTTGAGGAACGACTAAGACGGAATTTGGAAATGACATGGTAATCTTTATATCATCAAAAAAATAAAATACTCGCCAGCGGCGTGAAGTAGGTAAACCACTGCCAGTGCTGGAATAGTTAGATAGCATATTACCCCATTTACTAAAGTGTCCAACATATTAATGAGGATTGGGACGTACACATTAGTGTTCTTAGTTACGGTATATAACAATAGTAAAAATCATTTCCAAAAAAAATTAGGAAAAATGCATTTTCATAGTAAAAAATCATTTCAATGCATTTTGGGTCAAAAAATAATTTCCAACATTTTTATAGTAAAAATAATTTCAATGCATTTTCATAGTAAAATCATTTCAAATGCATTTTCATATTAAAAATCATTTCCAATGTATTTTCATAATAAAAATCATTTCCAATACATTTGTAAACTAAAGAACATTTCTAATGAATTTTCGTAGTAACAATCATTGATCAATACATTTTTATAGTAAAAATCATTTGTAATGCATTTTCATAGTAACAATCATTTCTAATGGTTTTTAACAGTAAAAATCATTTCCAATGCATTTTTATAGTAAAAATCATTGGTCAATGCATTTTCATAATAAAAATCATTTCCAATGCATTTTCATAGTAAAATCATTTCAATGCATTTTCATAGTAAAAATCATTTCAATGCATTTTCATAGTAAAAATCATTTCCAATGCATTTTCATAGTAAAAATCATTTCCAGTGCATTTTCATAGTAAAAATCATTTCCAATGCATTTTCATAATAAAAATCATTTCCAATGTATTTTCGTGGGTGTTATGGTCCAAGTTCCTTGTACCACGGTGATGGTCCAAGGATAGAATCAATAAAAGAATAACACGGACAAAGGTATGGAATACAAAGATATATTACAACAGAAATATAATACAAAGAAGTAGAAGTATTAGTAATGACTATTAGATTTGGTTAGAGTGAACTACGTTGTCTCGACAAGTATCACTATTCCAATGTTCTTACAATATGCTCTCAATTATCTCTCCTCGTCTTACAATATATGCTCATACCTCTTGAGAGGTGCAGTATTATAATGTCAGGAACAGTCCATTATTATTATGGGTAAGTTCCCATAACAATAGGAAAAAATGGATTCCAACGCATTTTCATAGTAAAAATCATTTCTAATGGATTTTTTATAGTTTAAATCATTGGTCAATGCTTTTTCATATCAAAAATCATTTCAAAGCATTTTCATAGTAAAAATCATTTCCAATGCATTTTTATTGTAAAAATCATTTCCAATGCATTTTCATAGTAAAAAATTATTTCCAATGCATTTTTAAACTAAAGATCATTTCTAATGCATTTTCTTAGTAACAATTGTTTCAAATGCATTTTAAAAATAAAAATCATTGGCCAATGCATTTTCATAGTAAAAATCATTTCTAATGGTTTTCATAGTAAAAACCATTTCCAATGCATTTTTATAGTTTAAATCATTGGTCAATGCTTTTTCATATCAAAAATCATTTCCAATGCATTTTCATTGCAAAAATCATTTCTAATGTATTTTCATAATAAAATCATTTCGAATGTTTTGTTTTTTTGTTTTTTTTTGTTTTTTTTTTGTAAACAAAAAAGTGTTGCTGAATGAGAAATAACAAAACGGAGTTTGGAAATGAAATGGTAATCTTTATAACATCAACAAAATAAAATACTCACCAGCGGCTTGAAGTAGGTAAACCACTGCCAATATTGGACTACTTATACAGCATATTACCCACCCCCACTTACAATAGTGTCCAACGTATTTATGAGGATTCGGATATGCACATAATTGTTCATAGGTAAGGTATATATATATAAGAAATCCTGATTGATGTCTACCTACGTTGTTCATCATAAATCTTTGTGATTGAATCGGTTTAGTCACCAATGACAAGATCGTTCACCAAGGTGGCTATCGGTGACTTAGTACCACTAGTACGCGAAGTGTCACATGAGAAAATTTGGAATTTGAAATTACCGTTATACTTAGAACTATAGGAGTGCTAAAACAGCTTGCACTCACTGGAAATTTTGATGCAATATTTCTGGTAGCACCGGTTGGATATGTCTGGGAATATTTACGTGAGATCTTCTACTGCTGATCATAGTGTTTAATAAACTCACAGATCAGCAATTCTAGTAGGAAATTGAATTCTTGAACTCGTTAATGTATATTGATATTTTTTTTAAATTATAAAAAATGCTTCCAGAAAGAGTTATAAGTATTTTCTCATTTTCTCTTTTTATTCGTTTCTTGTCTACAAAATCCGAGGAACATTCCATTTTGTTTTGGCGCGATGTTAAGCTCAAATAAATGTATATATAAAAAAAATTCGTTCTACGCATGCGCATTGATTAGAATAGTAATGAAACCATAAATGTCTCGGTAGTAGATTAGGAGGAGGATCGGGGCTGGCTGTCAAATAATTTGATGACGGCCAAATTTTCAATTTGCATCGATAAATGTCCTCTTTAGTGAAAAAAAAATGTACGTAATAAACAGTGTGGGGATTTTCAATTATTTTTTTTTTTTAGATGAGAAATTGAAAAAAAATGAGACGAAGTGCTTCGACAAAGATATACAGAGACATTTCAAGAGAGAAATTTAATACATCTTTCTATTGAAAAATCCTAAGATATGTCGATATCTTCAAATTTATTCAACCTTGGCATTGAAGCAATCCTGAGTAAATTCTTATTAGCGGACAGAGAATTAATATATTAGACGTGCAGAGTTAATAGCAATCATAGAAAGAAACATATAAACGAGGTTGTTTGCTAATAGGAGTCACTACTGGAACATATACACAAGGTTGTTTGTTCCTTTACAAGGATGTACAGTCTGTAAAATGCACAAGAATTACTGACGATAGACGGTTAGAGATTAAGAGGTAGAGTTTACAGAGATGTGCGGAAGATAATGGTTAATCCTAGACCTGAACAGGTTAAGATAGTAGTGATCGGGGGAAGCATCCACTTGGGAGTCGTTTCCATTCTTGGGAAGAAGAGTGTTGCTGAGTAAGTGGCACAGTTTCTACGGACATTTTGGGGAAGATAACGATTAAACCTAGACTTGAACAAGTTAAGATTGTAGAAATCGGGGAAGCATCCACTTGGGAGTCGTTTCCACAAAATTGCAATTCCTGGGAAGAAGAATTTTACTGAGTAAGAGGCACAGTTTCTACGGACATTTTGAAGAAGAAAACGATTAACCCTAGACTTGAACAAGTTAAGATTGTAGAAATCGGGGAAGCATCCACTTGGGAGTCATTTCCACGAAATTTCAATTCCTGGAAAGAAGAGTGTTACAGAGTAAGAGGAACCATGACCTATAAGTTTCCAAATCCCTTGTCCAATGAATTATCAGATGTCTTTTCCTGATCCTGAGTAGAAATGTTCATTCTGTTGGCATATTCTTTAAGACTTCCCTGTTGCTTACTCGCTCCGTCTATAGAACCTTCTGTAGCCTTTCGTGGATTAGTTTGGCATGGTTCGTTTTACGGCATAACAACCTCAATGGTTTGTTTTACGGGATATCAACTACCTCGATGGGTTATATGATAACGACAAGATTTTTATTGCCAGTAATATATTTTGGTTTGTTTTACGGCATATCAACAATTTCTCAACGGATTCTCCTCCAGTTCCTATCCCACGAACGCAGGTGTTCCTCAAGGCTCCATCCTAGGCCCCACTCTATTCCTTATCTACATAAATGACCTTCCTGACGCCATAACTTCCCAAGTTGGCATCTACGCGGATGACACCACAATTTATTCCGTGCCTCAAAAACAAATCTGGTCTCGCTGACAAAACTCACCTGGCCATGCGTCTCGAAAAGGACCTCCAATCGATTGTGAACTGGGACAGGAATTGGCTGGTCAACTTTAATGCTTCAAAAACAAAACTGCTCTCTATTAATCACCACAGAGATCCTTCCCTGCCCTCCATTAGAATGTCTGACGCTCAACTTCTCGAGAGCACCTCTCTGTAGCTGCTCGGTCTCACGTTGACTGCTGACCTGAGATGGAACAAATACATTGAGCCACCACAAGGAAAGTTGACTCCCTGTGCCGCGCCAGGAAATTTTTTCTCCTCGGAATCGATCCTTCAAATCTACAAATTAACAATTCGCCCTTGCATGGAGTATTGCTGCCATATCTAATCCGGAGTCAAGCGCCCTACGAGGCTGGCATCGCGCTCTCACCCTTTCACTGTCGAAACTCCTAAATATAGCATGTCACTTTCTACAATCCAATAGGCTTCATGTCTTGCAACCTCGCCTGTGGAACTCCTTCCCTATTTCTGTTTCCTGAGAGCTATAATCTCCAGCTATTGAAATGTAATGTCAATCGACATCTCCAGTTGTCTTGATCTATCCACTACCCTTCTCCTCATCCTTTCTTCTATCACTCCTATCTGACCTTGCGTCCTAGTGGCTTCCGCCTTGCTTGGGGTGAAACGCTTAAAAAAAAAAAAAATTGTTATTTAATGCCGACAAATTTTTTATTGCTTGATATATATATATATATATATATATATATATATTGTTATCCACAGACAGACTGTTTCGGTGTATCACAGCTCTTCAGTGTGGCTAGACGTTCGGTTGCCTCTAGCTAGGGCCGAAATCCGGCTGAATTGGCGTCGGTTGGAGATTCTAGCACTAAGCCGTCGGCGCACGGCAGGGACGGGGGCGAATTTTACCGTATTTATTTTTAGATAAATACACAGTAACTGAGAGGACTCGATTCGATTTAGCGAAGAGTCTTGCTATATAGATAGATAGATAGATAGATAGATAGATAGATAGATAGACAGACATTGGTCTGTTTTACAGCATATCAACCTCAATGGGTTATTTAATGCCAACAAAATTTTTACTGCTGGTAATATTATTTTTGATTTGTTTTACAGCATATCAACATGGCGTGACTAAAATATATTAAATGTAAAAAGAAACTGTGAATTGTATACCTACTTTTGATCCACCCTGTATAAGTGTCCTTTTTGTTTCCATTTTCTCTAAAGCTCCGGTGTTCATTCCATTACATTCTCAGCATCCTTCTGTTGAACCACACTTCTGTTGATTGTAATGCCTTAATCGCAAGATCATCTACAGTAAATTTGCGCTCTGGCTATTACAACATTTTATCATTCCTGGCAGACCTTCTAACATCACAGTGTGGAATACCTACTTACAAAATTGAGGGCTGTTGTTCATGATGACGGTCGTCTTTGAGTATAGAATCCAGAGGTTAGCAGTGAATATTTCGAAGACAGTAGGGAAGCCTTGTTCAGGTTAGCAGTGGATATCCCGGTAAAGTAGCAGAGCGTAGTTCTTCCTTCTGTTTCTCTTCACCTGACAAGCTGACACTAGACATTCGGATAGAGTAAACAAAATGGCCGCCTTTATACACGACGGATTGAATATTTTACGTCTTCTGATTGGTTAACCTTCTATTAGTGGACTATAAAGTGAGTCAAGTCATTTGGGCTAGGTCACTAGTTACATAGTATACACAAAAAACTGCAACAAGGGCCTGAAAAAGAAAATGTCTCTAAATGAATACAGCTGATAGAAAAATAATAAAAAAAAACTAAAATTACCAGCGCCCCTCTGAGGCGCGGATTTGTAGCACTATCAATATAACAAATTTTGACTGATGAAGTCCTAAATGATGAAATGAGTAACAAGTAATTTTTTTCCACTTTGTCATGCAATATCCCATATATCTGTCTATATATCTGAGATGAGGTATTATTTAAATTATACGAACTGTTATCCTCATCTTTATTGACATATTCACAAATTTCCAGCAGTCTTCAGGTGACTGACATTTTGAACCGAGCCTTTTATCTCGTCCACCGGGTAGATTGTTCTAATTTCACGTGCCATGCCTCTTCCGGATGTCAAAGTTATCTCCCTGTAACTCAGCTTTCCAAAGTTTTGCTTCATCACCACTGCTGTGAATCAGTATTGAACTTACAGCTCTTTAGGTTTTGTCACTGGATTTAACCAACCTCTTTCTTCATTGGGCCATGTTACGCAGTGGCTAAAGTCAGAATAATGTAAATAATGCAATTTATATTAATATATATATATATATATATATATATATATATATATATATATATATATATATATATATATTACACTATTTTTTTACAATATTAAAAAAGTACGATTGATCGGGTAAACAAACTGTTATAATTTAAAATATTTTTTAATATGTTCTCTATAAATGTTTTAATAAATATAGTATTTAACTTATATTAAATCCCTAAACTATTTGTTAAAAAAAATAAATGTTTAAATTGATAGCAAGCATTATATTAATTTCTTCCCGGTTTTTTTAGACATCTAAATTACTATCAAGCATTAAAATTCATTTTTTACATAAATTGCTAAAATCTAATTACAGCCTCTTTCTCTTTACTTCCCTCTCCCTCTTCTTTCTTTTTCTTTTTTTCTTTTTCTTTTTTTTCTTTTTCTTCTTTCTTTTTCCTTTTCCTTTTCTCCCTTCTCTCCTCCCATTTCAATATATCACTTCCGTTAAGTTAACCGTTTAAATAGGTCAAGGTCTGGTCACTCCTTCTCCCCCAATACAAAGTATGCTTGAGAGAGATATGAAATTAATCCCTCCCTATTCTCTACCATGTATCTTTAACTACTCCTTTCACACTCTCTGTTAAATTACAAAAACTTACACTACCCATCAATTTTAATTTCATTTTTCGTTTCATTTCATTTTTGGAAGTGCTATCTGATGATCGGGCGTCATTTAAAAGGGCTCTGGTGAAATAAATTATTATAATAGTACCTTAAAGTGGTCTGTTTTTTCTTTTTCAAAATATATATATATATATATATATATATATATATATATATATATATATATGCGAATGCAGGTATGTCTGCATCATTTACTTACACATTTACTTTTAATTTTTGATGACGCTACACTTAAAGGAAATCTTTCCTGCGTGATAAAATGTTCGAGAGTTTCTCTTGGCGATTTTCCAAGAAAGTTGGCATTGGGCACTAGCATTAAAAAATGTATCATCACCGAGCAGACCCCGATCTACCACCAGTCAATATAAACGGATGACCCCTAGGGAGACACCGTGGATGGAAAGACTACTGGGTCTAAAACTTGCACCTGAAAATTTTGGAAAAACATACGATTCCTAAGTGCAGTAAATTGGTCGGCTCCCTTTACCTCTCCTGTGAGTCCCTAACTCTTCTTGTGGAACGGATTCCCAAGAGGATGTTTCTCCGATCACTAAAATCGTAAAATGTCCAATACTAAGTTTAATCGTTATCTTTCACTCCGATCCGTACAAACTTGCTTCATAACGTAACACTCTATATCGAGTGGGACCCGCGCCTTGTAAAGAGTGAACATTTCTGTAAAAAAAATATGTGATTGTTTATCAATTACTACCATATAGGAGGACCGATATTAAATAACAATTAAGTACAGTTCTCTTCGTTTTTTAACATCTTCCTGTTTCTTAACAATATAACGTTACTAAATCCCGGTAGGGACTCTAGTTCCCTTAGGATATAGACGCTGTTGACGTTGAATAAATTTAGTGAAAAACATATCCTTGTCTTATCTATGTCTGGGCCGCCATTCAATTATTTTTCTACCTGTATGCAGGTGTTATATTCCCAGTATAATTCCTGGTCTCGTATTACCTACATATTTTCTCTTTCCTTTTTTTTTTTTTATCCATACTCATATTGTGTTGCTTTCTTTCTTTCGGTGCTCTTTACCTTCTCCCTATTCCGTTGTTTATTCTCTCACTTTTTTTTAACATCTTTTTTGTTATTATCTCCCTTTTCTTACTTTTGTTACTTTGTTTCTTTCGCCCTCTTTCTACACATTTTTTTTCTCTTTATGCACTTAATACTCTCTTGTTAGTCTCTTTTTATTCTATTAGTGATGTAAACAAAAAAGTGTCCTTTTTGCTTGCATGTTCCATAAAACTTAGACGTTGCTCATTACAGGGTGTTCTCACAATCCGTCCCAAGAACCATATTCTATTATTCACCTGTGACTGATATTGTCCAGCATCCACTGCTTTTTTTTTATATATATTTATGCATAAACTTTCTTCTTCCTTTTTTTCTCTTTCTTCTTCCTTTTTCTTTCTTTCTTCTGATAAATGATTCGGTCTTTTTGTCCTCATATCTCATTCTCAATCTGTCTTTCTTCCCCCCCCCACTCTCTCTTTCTCTAGTTCCCTTTCTTTCTCCCGCTTTCATTTGTGACTTTGTGCTCTCGTTTTTTTTGTTTTTTGTTTTTGACTGCGTCTTCAAATCTTTCTGTTTATTTACGTTTCTCCCTTTATTTCCGTTTACACTTTCCCCCTGCTTTTTGGCTCCCTTACTCTCTCGTATTTTCTTCTGCTTTCTTTCTTTCTCCCTCTCTCTTTTGTGCCCTTGTCCTCGCTTTTTCTTTTGAGTGAAACTTCTAATTTTTCACTTTCTTTACGTTTACACTTTTTCCCTTCATTTGTTTACTCTCTCTTTCTTTCTTTCTTTCTTTCTTTCTTTCTTTCTTTCTTTCTTTCTCTTATTTCTTGCTTACTTTCAATCTGCCTTTCTTTCTCCTGACCTCTTTCTGTCTACCGTTCCCTTTTGTGACGTTTTCTTCGAAATCATTTTTTTTTCGAAGTTTAGTCTCATCATTGCTTAAAATGGAACGAAACTTCAAATTTTAAGTTTAATTTAAAATTTAAATTTTGTTTCGAAATTTAGTAACTTCTGCGTCGCGATGGAAACGTATTTTTAAAAAATAATTTTAATATTTTAAAACATTTTATGTTTATACATTCTTGTTATATATACAAATATTTAAGTAAATGCTCTGTTTATAATAAACAGTACTAAACAACATTTACCGGCCTGAATGTCCGAGAAATTTTCATAGAAAATGTTCGACCTCCGACAGGATTCGAACCTGTATCCTATACGGAACCGTCAATTAGCTTGACGTGCCTAAATCAATTTGGCCACAGAGGAGCGTTCGGTTATCACAGTCGAATTTACATTTGATACACCATGAGCAGACATGAATGTACGTGATAGATTCATGGAAATTGAAGTTTAAATGCAGTAAAATCGACCTAGCTACTCGAACGATCCTTTGTAGTCGAATCGGTTAAAAGGCACATTATGCTATATACGGTTCTGTTCAGGATACAGGTTCAAATCCTGTCGGAGGACGAATATTTTCTGTGAAAACTTCTCGGTTATTTAGGTCGGTAAATGTTGTTTATTTTAAACAGAGCAGGACGAATATGTTTTGTGACAATTTCCCGGACATGTCCAATATATATATATATATATATATATATATAAAAACTTTTATTATGTGCCGTTTGGTTTATAAAGTATTAATAATAAATGGTAGATTTCATGACAAACTCTTTAGCCGGACATCTCATCACAAATGAAGATATTACTGGAAGCAACAGAAATGTCGTCCTACAGAAGGATGCTGATAATTCTATGTAATGAATGTGTGTGCAACGATGAAGTTTTATGAAAATTGTAAAGAAAAAAGTACACTTGTCATTAAGATATGTAAAATATGCGTGTATGTTTCTATCTGCGTACATCTGATAGTCGCTTTTTATCGTAGTGGAGGGGTTTTGGTGGTCCAATGATTCTGAGAGCGAAACCGCCGTGACCTCTAACCTCCCGGTAGAGTCACTCTTGGCGTCAAGCTCGAAAAGAACCCAGACTAAGCACGACCAAGTCCAAAGTCTCCCTACGGTGGATCAAGCCGATAATGATTACAATTCTTCCCA